ATTATTGAATTAACAACATAGCTAAAAAAAATATACCCACCAGATTATACAATTAAAGATCGCAAAATGCATATGTTGAAAGCCTTATTGCAATATACAGGATGTACTAATATAACACCCTTTGGAAAGGATTCTATAGTAACTCTAAAAATAATAATAATAATATGGAAATGCCTATAGCAAAAGCAGAAGATGGGACTATATATATATTATATAGTTCCATCCTCTGCTTTTGCTGTGGATATCCTCATTAAACTTCTCTGTGAACTATACTCTGAAATGGTTTTCGAAACAAAACCTTGATTTACACCCAGGTACCTGTATATAAATATTAACACTTGAAATAAATATCATATTTTTATTTACTAAGAGAATCATTATAACTCAGATTTTTAAAAGCCATTTTCCTGAAAGAACATAATTCTGATTTTATCAGAATTATATTCTTTCAGAAAAATAACTTTTAGAATCGCATCAGAATCTAGAGAACATGGTATATATATATATAATTCTAACTCATGATATTTGCAGGTTGAATTTTAGACTCGATCAAAAGATCTAGCTAAATATCAAGCTATATTAAAGCAGTTATATAAATGTGAATATCTTTGAACTATTTTAGAGAATTATGAAAATATCACAAATCAATTTTGGAACACATTTTAGGATGCTCTAGATAGTAATATTTGTGGAACTGATAAAAAAAGAAGAATATTATCTATTATTGCTGATAAACTTCCTTATGATATAATCAAAAAAAAATTATCTGTTAGTATTTGAGTGAGGCCAAGGAAAACCTGTCATTAGGCTTTCAATTATATTTAGTTCCAGATTTTAGGACTTATCTATTAACAATCTAATCACCACATATTATACGTTCTGTATAATACAGACTTTTAATAGACAAGTTCTGAAATCCAGAACTAAATATAATTGAAAGTCTGATGACAAGTTCACTCTTGGTCACACTTATTTGAAAAGAATATTAATGTATTAAAATAATTAAACAAAAATTTAAATAATTAAATATTTATTATAGGTTTCAAATTATCTAATTACTGAAGCATGTCATTATGCGTGCATTAATGGTCCAGGAGGTATTCAATTAGAAAAGTCTAAGATTACCTGAGAAAAGTTGATATCTGAAAAAAAAAGAGCAAATTGAATTTTTTTTTCAAAATAAAGCAAATGTAGTAATGAGTTTTTATAAAACAGACAGTGCCACTGGATTACCTATACATTATCTAAAAGATAGCAAAGAGGCATTGTGGGAGCGATTTTATGAAGAGTATCCTGATGGTGCTAAAAGAACAACGTTTTATAAATATTTAGAAGGTGGGTAATATATATATAAAGAAGACTTAGGTGGTCTATGCTTGATCTGTAATATATATAGATATGAGATATTTGATGAACTTCAAAGATTAATATAACATAATGCAGACTTGAATTATCAGGTAATTTATATTATTAAAAAATTATATCTTTCTAAGTTAGAAGATTTTACATGTCAAATGCTATTTTATGTGATTTCGCGAACATGCATATTAGGGTATTCAGGATTATGATTCGGCATAACATATGTATAATTTGTGATTTTTACTTTTACTCTATAATCCATTTACTTTCATGTAGCATATAAACAAAAATTGATTAGTTAAATAAATAAACCAGTAACTGTAATCACCCGACTTGTTCTTTTTGAAAATTTATTGGCTAATAACTCATAATTCACATAATTTGCAACTTATCTGATGCATAATTTGGTATTTACCAGATCATAATTCTGAATACCCTAATGTATGTCCGATAAATTACGTGAAAGCTACAACCAGTATTTATTTAAGTGATGCCAAAGGGAAAAAGCACTTCAATCATATATATTTTACATGATTGGAGTGCTTTTTTCTTAGCATCACTCATTAGTATACCGAATCTTTGAATCTTATTACCTTTCATGTATACTAACTAATAAAATTAAACAATAATAAAGAGCGATTGTTAACCGAATGTAGTAATCTGCAAAGATATTTAAAAAAAGATTATGAAAATAAGTTAAAAATTAATTTTTTTAGTTATACAAAACATGATAATTGTATCAATCATTGTATGCTTTATGCATTTGAAACTTGCTTAGAATCTTATGATCTGATCTGTAATCGTTGTGGAGGTTTTTTTTATCTATTTAGTCAAATTTAAGAACATATATCGTCTGACTTTCATATGGAATTAAAAGAGTTACAAGAACACTTATTATACTATTTGGCATATCAAACCAGGAAAGTATATTTAAATGCGTAACTAAATGTCCATTTAGGTGAGCTTGATGAAAAAGGTGCTGTAATTATCGTTGACTACAAAATAAAAATTTTGCCAAAAA